AGAAGAAAGAAGAAGAAGAAAGAAGAAGAAGAAGAAGAAGAAGAAGAAGAAGAAGAAGAAGAAGAAGAAGAAGAAGAAGAAGAAGAAGAAGAAAGAAGAAATAATTCTTTAGTCAAATGAAGAAGTGTGTTAAGTTCTAACATTTGTTTTGATTAAAGAAAGATACAGAAGTCCCTGAAAGACTACTTTTGTTAAAAAGAAACAGTTTTTTACTTTGCTAAAAATGCAAAAATAAGAGCCTGCCAAATAGCCCAGTGAATTAAAGTGCCTGCAAGCAGGTGCAAAGGCCAGGGGTTTGATCCCCAGGCCTGTTCTGCTGGCCCCTCCCCCAGGGCTCACTGAGATTGCAATTGAGACTGTGTGTGGTGGCATGCACCTGTAATCCCAGCTTTTGGGAGGCTGTAAACAGGCAGATCACTGAGTCCGATCTCGTAGTGAGACCCTGAACACCCTACAGAACCTTCCCTAAAATACAAAATAAATAAATAAAAGTAAATAAGAGGCCAGGTATGGTGGAGCATCCTGTGATCTTAACACTAACAAGGCTAAGGAAGATTGATATAAATTTAAGACCAGTCTGGACTACATAAGAAGACTCTATCTTTAAAAAAAAAAACAAGCAACTAAACTGTGATGGTTTGTGTCTAGTTGTCCTCCCAAAGCCTCATGCAGTCACTGGGGCAGGCTGCTAGAGTTTGTGATTAATTAATGATCCGATGCTGGGATTATGAGTGTGAATACTGCACCCACCCTGGGACAGACAGCCTGAATGCAGCACAAGGAAGGGAGCGAGGCTGCCTCTGGCTGCTACACTGCTCTTGCTGTTTTGCTGTCTTCTGCCACCATGAACTGCTGCCCGCTGCCATGAGCCTCATAGCCAGCTGAGTACTAACTTAAATCTCCGCAAACTGTGAGCAAAATAAATCTTTCCTTCCTTAATTCTGGGTATCCAGCATTTTGTTCCAGTAATGAGAGAAAAGTAACTGAGACACAAACAAACAAAAAGTAAAACTTTGACAAACTGCTCTCAGCATGATTAACTAGTTTAGTATTGTTTTCTAAAAGAAAGTCCTTTGGGTAGTTACGGGGAAATAAAATCAAGTGTTCGGTGAGAAACTATATAGAAACAATTAAATTCCTTATAAAAAGTACAAGTGCACCTCAGAAAGACATTGAAATTATCTTTTTAAAAAAACTATGTAATTCATGTTTAAGGAGAAGAGGAATGTAACTAAGAGATATAAAATCAGAGAATTTTATTTTAAGTATTTTACTTGGAAAAGAAACACAGGAAGGGAAATTTAAAGAAAGCAGAAGTGGACACAACTGAGTGTGACATTTTCCTACTGCTAGGAATAGGTGGTTCCTAGTTAACTATTCTTCATGGAAACAGAAAACAACATCATTCTCCTTTTGTGGTTCCTTCTGAATCTTTGGCTCCATGGTAGAAAATTTTTTATAAAACACTTCCTTCCTCCTCCACTGATGATGTGTTCACCTCTTCACAGTTCTCTGTCATGTAGTTTGAGTTCAGAGATCATAGTTTTTGTTCTAGCTATGTTAGCAAATGACTTCTATACGATATCTATCCCATGTCAAAAATATGATGATAGTTAAAGGAGGTCAAAGGTTAGATGAACTTTTCTCAAAACTCTTTATGATTATCAAAATTAAATTTGTGAATATTACATCATTGCCTTGGCCATCATCCATTTGTCCTGATGACTCAGAGGTCTTAAATGCCATCAGACAACTGTGGAGTCAGAGTGAAATCCTTCTTCTCTTTCTCTCTTCCTTCTTTCCTGCTGTACTAACTGAGCCCCAGTGTAATGCCACGCCCAGGGCCTAGAGAAGTGCCTGGCCTCGCTCCCCAGAGCTGAGCAGGAAGGCAGACAACCACAGTGGAACTAGGGTATCTGAGTATCAGCCCAGGTCACCACTACTACTGTGTCTTGAGACAATCAGACTACATTTCTGGATTTATTTCATCACCCCAAAAAATGGAGATGATTTTTTTCATGGGTTTCCATGAGATAAGTACTTATGGTTCCAAGAGGAAGTTTTAGAACATGGTGAGCACTCAATCAACCTTAGCAGTTACTATTGCTGCTACTTGACTTGGTCATCCAGAAATCTCAAGAGCCATGTGCTTTCTAAGAGTGCTCTCTGAAATTGCTACCCATCCAAAGGGTACCCCTGAAAATTATGTAATCTGCCCAACTCAGCAGTGTAAACAAAATCCAGCCTACTACTCTGAGGATTCATTTGGTAATTTTTTTTTTTCTTTGCACTAGGCATTAAACCTAGGATCTGGATCTTCACACTGAACTATATTCTTTATCTTTTTTTCATTTTTTTTCCACTTATCTGATTTTTATTCATTTTTTTCTTTTTCTTTTTTTTTTTTTTTTTTTTGCAGAACCAGGGATTGAACTCAGGCCCTTGGGCTTGCCAAGGAAGCATTTATTCCACTGAGCCATCTCCCCTTTTTCTTTTCTTTTTTATTCTTAAGATCTTGCTAACTCACTAGACTGCCAAGACTTAGCTTGAACATACAGTCCTCTAGCCTCAGCCTTCCAGAGTACTGGGATTATTGGTATACACCATGACCCAATTTGGTAATCTCTAAATTCATAAA